AAATAAATAAAAACGTTGAAAAAAAAATTAAAAAAAATAAAAAAGTAAAAAAAATAAAATAAAATAACACGCTTTTCCTCGGGACGGTTGCTGGCCAGTGCTCATTTATGTGCTCCTATCACTAGTACCTATACAAGTATCCAGTAGGTGGGTGTTGTGTATGAGGATGATGACCTCTAAGCCTAGGTTCCTTTATGCTCCAGGAAACACTTCCACTTTCCATTCTTCCTGCCTTCCCTTTCGCAATCCTGGGTAGAAAGCTACAGGCTAGCGAATGGGCCCCCTGTGGAATCAGAAGACATCTGGCTTTTTTTTTTAAGTAGCACACTTGTGTTTTCTACCCAGATCTGCTATACCTAGGGGAATGAAAGTCTTGGGTCAACTGAAAACACCTGTACACCCCAGGGGGAAAGGGGCTGGTGGGTTTTGGGCTCCTTTCCTAAAATATGGGGAAATATTAAGGGCGCCATCTTTTGCTCTAGAGCTGCACAGAGCTGCACTGTTTTCACTTCTCAGTACGCCAGCCTTTGAGCCTTTGACAGCATGATCCGTAAATTTTACCCAGGTCAGTAGCCCGGTGAAATAGTAAGCAAAGTGTCCTCGACTCCTCTCTTCTAGGTTGAAGAACTAGCCCTCCAATCAATGATTAGTTCTAGAAGAGGGGATGAAGTGCTCCCTTCTCAGCCTGCATCTGAACAGCCACATGATGTAAGTTTAATCAAGTGTGGGCCTGGGGAAAGAATGCAAAGTCCATCCTGCTCTCGGGCTGCTTGGAGGCCAAAAGTTTTTTGTAAATTACATGATCAAGCCCAAAGAGCTCAGGGAATTAAGTTATTCTGATTTAATACGCTGGCTACTACATGTGACTCTTTTAGGCAAGGACCAGCCTGCCTCTCTAGCAGCTAGGTACTCTTTATTAATCATGTGTTGTTATATTGCCTGCAGCATCCTAGTTATCCGTCCCCTCTAGTTACTCCAGTGAACCGAGGGAGAATTGGAGATCTTTGCAGGCATATGTCAAAACTTCTGCTGCTTTATAAGTAAGCCTGGGATGTGAGAACAAGAGTGTGGCTTTGACTACAAAACATAGTGCTAAAAAGTGGGTTCCAGTCCTCATCGTATCCTTCTCTTACCAATGCCCTTAGGTAAAACGGTGCAATGTTCTTCTTTCTAAATACACCATATTTGAGCATTTTTTTCTCCCAGATGCGTGTTAAGCCATGTAAAACCATGAGAGCAGCACATGTAGGCCAGCATAATTCTTAGGCATGAACCATGTTTGTAAATCAGGTAACATTCTATCAAATACTAGGGTGTTTACTCCCTCCCATTGTGGCACTAGAGGGTAGGAGGATGGGGATAGGAAGTGGCCTTACCTCCTGGTGATTAAATATTGGGGATGAATGTGCAGTTGCAATTTAAAAAAAATTTAATGTTTAAATTAAACATTAGAGAAAGAGCACAAGTGGGGGAGGGGCAGAGAGAGAGGGAGACACAGCATCCAAAGCAGGCTCCAGCCTCTGAGCTGTCAGCAGAGCCCAGCACAGGGCTCGACCTCACGAACTGCGAGACCATGACCTGTACCGAAGTCGGACACTTAACAGACTGAGCCACCCAGGCGCCCCGAGATTTGATTTTAAAACACATTTCAGAATTTGCCGGTTTGGTGACCATGTCTTTCCTACTAATCCATAATGTCCTTGCCTAAAGCAGATGTTGGTACACGTAGACAATGAAGCATCAATCAACCAAACTGCACTGGAGTTGAGCACAAGGAGCCATGTGCCGGAGGAGGAGGAGGAGGAGGAGGAGGAATCAGATTCTTGAAGGCGGGAAAGAGCCAAGGTTTGTCCTATGAATTAAGTTCCTACATCTCAGGACCTTTGTCTCCTCAAAAAAATATTCTTTCAAGGTGGGCCCTCTGGCCCGCTTTAAAAGGAAGCAAGAACTTTAGGATGATGTGTAGTTCTAAACATGGTTCCATCCATAACTGACGTTTCAGTGACCTGGAAAAGCACAGATGTGGTATCTTAGCCTTGAGCAATGTGGGCAGTGCTGCGTCTGTATTCTGGTCAGATTCCGTAATTATGCTCAAAACAGAAAGTTTCCTCTCCAGTGCTATTGAGAAAGTCTGGCATTTGCCAAAAGGGCAGAGTTTAAATACAAGCCAGCCTTTCCAGTCAACAATGCCTCTTTTAAGAAAGCCAATTAAAGGCCATCTGCATGCCATTGAACCATTGTGAGCAGCAAGGCCACAGTCTAGGAGAGAAAGATGACAAGTGAGGAGTACAGAAAGCCACTTGGGAACACAGGCTGCTGCCACCTCTCGGGTGACATCACAGCACGCTGCCGACAACATGCTTGGGAGATTAGGCTTTTGCAATAATGACTGTTACAAAATAACAGTTGCTGAAATTTGTATGCTGCCCCTTTTTCAGTGAAATACAGTTAAGTACTGCTGAATTTTATTAAAGTAACTTACCCTGCCCAAGCAATAGAAAAGCCAAACAAAACATACAGAACCTCCTCAAGCAGAACTTCTGCTGTAACTGCTCCAGGAGAGAACATGGATGGGTGTATGTATTAATCAACATTTCATTCCAGTGATTTTCAGCTACTCTTATAGGAAATAGCCAAAAGTTTAAATGAGCGTATTTCTTGGAAAACACAGTGTGAAAATTGTTTTGCAACAAAAGCAACCAAACTTCACGTTTGGGGAATCTAATTTATGAGTGTGGGTTTTCGAGAGCTAGAAAAGTTGGCTCTGAATTCTAGCTCTACCACTAACTGGGCACTTGCCTTATTGAACTCTTTGCAGCTCTCAGTTTCCCGCGTGTAAAATGACCGGGTGCGCACCTGCTCCAGCACTCTGGCATGTGGTTATGGGGTGCTCGTGAGGCATCATGTAAAACTCTAGCTACTGTTGGTGTCTCAGCAAGAGGGAGTCTAAGGAAGGAATTGGACATGGGGAAACTCAAAACACCAAGACCGATGCAGGGAACATTATTCTTGAAAACAAGGTCATTCCTGGTAAAAACTACTAGGGAAAAACCCTTGCACTCCCAAAATGTAACACTTTTGTATAGAATAGAGAATTTAGGACACTCAGAACAGATGTTAGCCTCACAGCGAGAAAAAATGCTGGACCGGCCTAGGCGGTATACGTAACAAGAAGCAGTTTTCTAAACCCTGGCTGTATTCTAAGCTCCTGTCCATCTAGAGTGGGACCACCTACTCAGGAGATTGAATCACGTTGTTCTTAGTTTGAAAACAAAATAGGCCTTGTGTTTTTAAATACGTATTTATTGGTTTTCTGTAACCTGCCCTCTGGAAGAAAATGGGGCAAGAGGTGCTGACCAGGCGTCACCACACGAACCTGAAGTTCTGAAAGTCACTGGTCAAAAAAAGGCATCGGTGGTCAGTTTGTTTTCTGTGACTTCACTGCTACCTCACAGGCGGGACGAAGGCAGCGCAGGCCCATCCCCCTCCAGGAAAGTGGAATGAAGAGGGGAAACCATTGCTCAGTGGAGCCAAACAGCACGGGGCTGGGTGTCCTGGGTAGAGGCTCCCACACCGGCTGGGCACGGCCAAGAGCAGGGTGCTCCCCTGAGCAGGCCGGTTACCCCCTGACCCCACCCTGCCTGCTTTTCCCTGGGTAGAAACGGCAGGAAGAGAGGGGATCTGTTGCTCCCAGGTGCACGGGAAGGGTAGTTGGAAGGCTCACACCTAAGTGTTTGATGGCTGAGAAGACTTGGACAAAGTCCAACTTGCAATTACAGGAAGGCCCGTTGGTCCAGAGCACTGGACTCGTCCCCAGTGTGGCATTTCTGCCTTGCAGCCTCCTCCTTGTCTTTACCCTTTGCCCTCACAGGAAGGCTTGACGACACCATTTGATTTCTCAAATCCTACCACAAAAGTAGACCTGTTTTTTCATCCTTTTAACTTGATAGTATATTTATTAGAATAAGAGATTAGATTTGTTAAACATCTGGGTTGAAATGGTTAAAAGGATTTTCATACAATTCTTAGGCACTATACACACTTGTTTACAATAGCATTGGTACTTGGATTTGGGGAAAGATAAATCTCATACACTTTAATGCCTTGATCCATTTGTAACATTCAAAGTAACCATCATTTTAGAAACACTAATTCAAACTTAAAGAGACACATACCACTAAATATCCCACATAATATATTTTAAAATAAATATAGAAATACAACCAGAAGTCTACAAATCATCACAGTAGACAGACTGGTGAAGCCCCAGCTATCGTGGCAGTGAAGGGCTCTGGCTAGATTTTGACAGAAATTGCTTCATTCTACACCAAAAGCAAAAATATAATAAAATAACAAGATCTATACTTTCTGATGTTCTTTTTCATAGCAGCAAAGCATGCTTCACATGCAGTGCCTGTGAAGGATCTTACAAGGCTCCTACCCCAACAGAAGGAAGGTGCGCCCGGCAAGAATGCAGTACCACCAAGTGTCAAAAGAATCCCAAAACTACAGGCAGCTAGCCAGTCACGGTGGGGGAAGAGCAGTGCAATTTTCAGTAAGAATGACTACCCACAGTCACCAAGGTTTCACTGTAACTGAACGTTGCGCATGTTTGGATCAACATACACAAAAATAGCCCCAAGCACAAAGCCAATCCACTTAGGGAAATAACAGAATAAACGACAGTAATATCAAAAAAGACACAAATAGAATTTTGGCACATGCTGTGTTCTTCATCCTTTGTCGTAGGCGAAATGCACGTCTGAACGGAGACAGGCATGGCAAAGAGGCCTGAAAGCGACAATGGCACACCACTGGGCAGGGGACTCGCTCTTTGCTGCTTCCCAGATACTTAGACGCCGGCCGCGTGGGTCGGTGTACTGGGCTGGTTAAGGCCGATGGTGGAGCAGAGCCAACCTGCAAAATCCACTTCCTCACCATCAGATCTCTTGATAAAGGCATGAACCTGTGTGGGAGGAAACAGTAAGTTAAAGGAAAGTTCAAGAGTCCCGAGTCTAGACTTGGGACCACCTGCAATCCCGGAGCCTGCCTGCCATTGGGCGGCAGTAGGGGGCCAGGAAGGGGGCCGGCTGCCGCCCCGCCCCGACAGCCCACTCTGCCTGTTTGATCTGCCGGGAGGCCTCAGCTGCTCACTTCCCTGGGCCTGCGCTCTTCCACTGCGAACTGGGAGTAGTAGCTCTGCCCTCCGCGCCCCACAGGGTGGCTTGAAGGAGCAAAACAATGAACGGGTGGACTTCGGAGTGTGCGTGATACTGCACGGGCTCTGCAAGCTCAGATGTTCCCCGGTATTACTGCCCCACTCTTCCGAGAGGGGCTGCGGAGGATACTGAACACAAGGTGAGCCCGTCAGTGGTGGAAAAGGCCCCGTCCCCATGAAGGAGTGGGCTGGCCCGCTCCTTCCCTCGGCTCGTCCTTTATGCTCACGGGTGGACACGGGAGCCTTTTGTTTGGGATCCTGCAGCCCCAGGGTCAACGGGACCATACTGGTCAAGGCAGCGGGGAATGGGCTGTAGGAGGACTGGACAGATGACCGACCGAGAACAAATGAATAAGCGGGTCGTGTACAAATTGGAAATAAATGGACTTACCATGAGTTGTTTCAGATCTGCTCTCTCTGCTGGGTTTTTTATGAGGCTTAAAGAAAGAAAGATAATGTCAGAGAGATTTCCTGGCACTGGCTCCAACTCAAGTTATTTCACGTTTACATGCCTATCCTCCCCACACCCTGTATTCACCTTCCTGTTCCTAGCACTGCGGCATGCCTGCAGGTTCGTAAGTGCTGAATTAACCTGAGATCAGAAGGCAATGTGCCCATCCCTGTAGGGCAGGTGAGGGGCAGCTTTTACCCAGTGCTGTGGTCAGCCCAGTTACTGAAGTCCTAGCATTCGGGAGGCGTGGGGGAAAGGGCAAAGCTCCGTTCCCCAAGACCAGGTGGGGAGGCCGACAAAACCAGCATATCTCCAGAGAGCAAGGAGGTGACTTACCATTTATTCACAAAATCTTGAAATTCCAGACTGAATACTCCACTGGGCAGCTTGGGAGGAGGCTGTAAATACAGGTTAAGACCTAAGAAATGCCTGGCTTCCTTCTCCAGCCATATTCCCCACAA